ATATCTTCCCACCTCACAGAAAGATTTCTCAAAGCAATTTTACCTGGGATCACTAACTGTCCAAACTGATAACCCAGTGCACAAACTCAAAAATGACAATCAGACAATTTTGACAATCAGACAAAAAATGACATCAGACAATTTTCACTCTAGAATGGGATTCAGTGATGAGTCTGTTCTTCAACATTTCAATACCTCACTTTCCTTCCTTATTAGGCCACTCACTCTCATTCTGCAATGCTTCAAAAACAAAGGTATCAGCACTGAGAGCTGGAGATGATTCCAGATGGCTATGAAATTTGGGCTCTAGATACTAAAGGGCTTGATTCCAGGAGATATAGAAGGATAACTTACTTCCAGGCAGCAGAGAGGCAACTACCTTTGATTATATGTTAACATCATACAGGCTTGTTGCCCCTTGTGAAGACTTTATTATAGATTCCCATCTAGACAGTGACCATCTTCCATCCTCCTTCTTTCAATCATATCCTGAGGGAGGGTAGTCAACCTCACCAAGCCATGGCTGAACCTTCATCTGAGAGGTACCTGTGACCTATACACCTGGCTAAGGAATATTCAAGCCTTCCAAGAGGACCTCTTTATGCCAGTGTTTCCCAACCCAGGCAACTTTGACATCTGCGGTCTTCAACTCATGGAATTCTTAGCAATAGCCATGGCTGGACAATTCTGAAAGTTAAAATCTATACATCTTAAAGTTGCCTAGGTTGGGAAACACTGTTTTATCTTGCCTTCATCAACCAGAGGGTGGATTTTTGTTCAGTTCCTCAGGAGAGATTGTGGAGGAAGTTAACTGCGTCATCTGTTAACTACTGTCTGCTCAGACTGAAAATGCTGTTACATGATAACACCTTTACACAAATCAGATGCAGGAGCAATAAGGAATTGCCTGCCTATTTTATCTTTAAAGAAGCTAAGCAGCAATATATTCTTGCTCCTCTATTATTTTACCACTGATGTAGTCCTGGCTCTTTCTAAATCTAAATTCCATCCTCTCTACTCACCCACCAGCCTATTTTTGTTCTATTCTATGCAGATGTTGCTGCCATCTTCTCTGCATCCCAAGTTGGCCTTCACAGACACCTAGAAGCCCTAATGTCCATTTGCTTAGGGAAAAATTAAAAATTAATTACTCTAAAACAGAGGTCCTAGCTTTCACCAAAAAGCATTTTAACTTTTCCCATATTTGAAATATTAATATTAGGTCTGTTGAGCAATTAGCTATTTGCTTCCAACCATTGGGCTTCTGGAGCCACCAAATAAATAAACTTTTGACAAAAGGCACAACAAATTATCAGATTTGCAAGTCATAAAGGCAATAATTACATGCCTGCAACAATTAACTGTTCAAGACTAAGATCTTAAGCCTGCTGGTATATGGTGCTCAATTCACTGTGTGTAAGGATACATCTATCTTGGAAACCATTCATTCCACATTTTTGAGAGTCATTCTCTATCTTCCTCAATCATCTACAGAGAGACTTGGACCTAGAGGTCCAAAAATTGCACACCTTTTCTTCTGGGAGCCTATGGGCACTCCTTTTGTTACACCGATATATTTTTGGACCTCGTGAATACTTGGATGGGAGACCAACAGGACACAATTGGGCTATGGGCTAAATTGGGAAGTTAAGAAAACTTAGCCAAAGGCAATGGCAGAGCACATCTGTATAGTTTCCAAGAAAACTTTATGGGCATTACTTATTCCCACCAATTTAATTAGTAAGTTATTTAATTAAAAAAAGAAAATTTAGTATGATTAAACTTGTCCTGCAAAAGTCCATGTGGATTTCTAGTATTTACTGATTGACTGCTTTATGAGCTACAGAATAGTATTTCAGTTCCCAACCTTGGCAGTTTATAGGAGTATGGGCTTTAATAATTCTTGTTGCTGAGAATTCTGGAAGTTGAAGTCCAGATATCTGAAAGTTCCCAAGGGTGAGAAACATGGCAAGAATCTGCACAGAATTCATATCGGACAATTGCCAGAATGAAAAGTTATTTTTCGTTTTATATCACACAGACTAATTATTAAATAAATTACAAATTTTAAGTGTATTTTTGAATACCACTACCATTCCAAAAATATTTCCTTAAAAAAATATTATAGATTTGGAAATCAATGTCCTGATTTAGCAAATACATTATGAGTTTACTTGTTTAGATAATAATTTATTACCAGTGCTGTCATTGTAAATATAAAATTTTAGATGATGATGATGATGAAGATGATGATAGATAGATAGATAGATAGATAGATAGATAGATAGATAGATAGATAATAGAGTATCAAGATTGATTGTAAATTGTTAACACAGAAATATGACTTCAAAATGAAAGTCAAAAACTCCAAAACCAGAAAACTCACCTCTTTAGCTGAATCTGGGGGCAATTCTGTCCCATTGATAAGTTCCCCACTATTTGCAAAAACAGGAACGTTGGGACTGAAAATCATGAGATCGCTCTTGACACCAGCCTCTGCACTCACACCTGCCAGGATGTGGCTGTGACGATTGGAATAGGACCAGCTGCCCACTTCACTGGCACACACCAGG